AGCAAGCTTCCTGATGCTTCTGAGGGGCAGCCAGCTGTGGGGGCTCTGTGGTACCGTAGGGATGGATGCCTGAGGCCCAGGCGAGGAATGAATTCGCTTCCAAGGCAGCACTAAGCCTAGACCCTGTCTCCCACCCTCCTCATCCGATATGTGAGCTGGAGGCCAGGAGAACTCAGATGAAGGCCAGGAGGCGGTCATCCAAGTGCTGGGTTTGCACAAGGATGGAGCCTGAAACGTGGGCCCTGCAGGGGCAGGAGTGAGCTGGCTTTGCCACAGCTTCCCGCCGCAGCTTCCACAGCTCGGAGCCCCTCCTCTGAGTCATTCCTTGGGGTTCCAGAGTGGTTTTCTATTGAGAGGGAAACACTTGGAATTTCTTGAAAAGCCATCAAGATTTCAGGGCAGGAAACAAACAGGTTTGGTCCAGTTGCCATGCACTGAATGTTTGTGTCCCCCCCAAATTCACATATCAAAGCCCTAACCCCCAACGCGACTGTATTTGAAGATAGGACGTTTAGAACATACTTAAGGTTAAATGAAGTCATGAGAGTGAGGGTCTTCTTATAAGAATTGGTTGCCTTTTAAGAGGAGGAGGGAGAGATTTCTCCACGCGCATGAGAAGGGCCATGTTAGCACACAGTGAGAAGGCGGCTGGCTGCAAGCCAGGAAGAGAGTCCTCACCAGAACCTGAACATGCTGGCACCCTGATCTCAGACTTCCAGCCCCAGAACTGTGAGAATATGAATTTCTGTTTTTAGGCCACCCAGCCATGGTATTTTGTTACAGCAGTGCAAGCTGCCTAAGACACTAGCTTAAGGGGAGGTAACAGGAAGGACAAAGAGGCTAGGCAAGAAAGGTGCCTAAGGCTGATGGTTTTGCTAAATCCAGTTTATGGTCTGAAGGTTCCCAAAGGTCAAAGAGGGCTCAGAGGGATTTAGGTGGAATTCTCATGGGATTTGGGACTAAGACATACGAACATGTGTCTCCCTCAAGGGTGTATCTGCTATTTTGAGGGCCTGGTGCTCCTGGTACCAGAATAGTTCTCCACTATGGGCTGGGCATTAGAATCATCAGGGGTGCTGTTGAAATCCTCAGGGTTTATTTTAAGGCTACAGACCTATGGACCCCTTCCCTGGAGAGTCTGGCTGGCAGGGCTGAGGTGTGGCTGGGGCAGCTGAAGGTGTGAACAGTGGCCGGGGTTGAATGAGAGATTTAGACCAATGGCTCTCAAAGTTCAGCAGCAGCAGCAGCAGCACCTGGAGGGCTTGCCAAGACACTGACTGCTGGGCCCCTCCTCCGAGTTTCGGATTCAGGAGGTCTGGGGTGAGGCCTGAGACTGTGCGCTTCTACTGTGTTTTCAGGAACTGCTGATGCTGCTGGCCCAGAGGCTAGAGTTTGGGAACCCCTGGTCTAGATGTTCAGCAGTGCCGTCTGGTGGGTAGAGCCCTGGGTGGCCACTGTGGTGAGCGTGAATCTGCAGAAGCCACCATGCAGGGCCTCTGTGACCCGGGCCCGACGATAGGGGCTCCTGGCAGGAGAGAAGTGGGCAAGGATCCGGCAGCTCATACTCATCGCTGGGAAAGGAGCTCCCTAAGGAACCGCAAGGCCACTCAAATTCTTGTCCATCTACCCTCTAAATTCCCAGCCTATCGTGGGAACACTGGGCTGAGCTGAGGCTGGACGCCTGTTGGCCAGGTGTGGGTACACGTGTAAGATGCTTTTAGGCGGCACGCGGATGAGCATTTTAAAAGATGCATGTATCTATTAAATGTGTTATCTTTTTAAGGCAATCGATAAAGACTTGCTACGTATGGCAATGATATAAGATCCATTTCAAACAAAGTTAGAAGAAAACTGTGAGTCAATTTAAAGAAAACTGTTAATAGCACTATAGGTGCAACATGGTTTTGCTAAAAATCACAAGAGCTTGGGCAATCGTGGGCTCCGTCCTGGGAAATATTCCTCGAGTGCAAGTCCCTGCTGTGACCACCAACTTCCTGGGTGGCCTGGAGCAAGGTGCTGCTCTCTCTGATTCATCAAGTGCGAATTGAGTGAACGGGACCAGGTCCAGGGCTAAGGTCCGAGGTTCTGAAAAGCTGGGGTCCTCTCTGCTGGATCCCCCACTTCAACTAGAGCCACTGTTATTACACCTGGCTTTATATGTTGGGTTTCTGCATACAATTCTATTTAGAAAAAAATGCTTTATAAACTCGCAGGGCAGGATGTTGGTTTCGGACCCAGACTGGCAACAGTTAGTGCTATAGGTGATGCTTCCTGCTGCCTTCTTTCCCCGCTCCTGGCCAGGGAGATGCTGGGGGAGGCCCAGAGGCTCAGGGGGTTAACGCCTGGCCCACACTAAAGCTCCAGGGCCCCACACCCTCCTACTACCCAGCACCAGCCCTGCTCCGAGTGAGCAAACAGCTATTCTTGGAGCAGCCCTGGCAGAAGCAACAAAGGCGCCCATTGTCTCAGGCGGATCCTGTTGGCTGCCTCTCTTCCCAGAAGAACCTCTCAGAACCCCCCACAGGAACCAGAGAGCCAGGGGCAGTGGGAGCCTCTGCTGTCCCTGGGGGCTGCAGGGAAGCGCCCAGGACAGTATCCAGGGCAAGAGAGTGTGGGTGTTGGAGGTGGCTGTGATCTCCTGCTTATGGGATAGCAGCAAAGATAAGGATAGCGTGGACGGAAGGACCGGCTGCCAAGTCCTGGGACCTCCTCTACTCTGCCCACCACGGTATCCCAGCGCCCAGCACGTGGCCATACTCACTATAGACTTTGGGAATAAATGAATGAATGAAGCCACCCTTCTTGGCTTCCCAAACTCTGCAACTGGAGTGACTAAAAAAAAAAAAAAAAAAAAATACCAGGTCACTCGCCTGCTTGAAATTATGCAGAGGCGCCCCAGTGCCGACCCGTACAATAAAACCCAAACTCTTTAGCCTGGAATTCACTCAGCGGCATTTCACCACTACGTCTCAGCTTGACTCTCCAGACTCATTTTCTGCAACTCCTTCCAACCTCTCCACTGCCTGCACTGCTCCATCTCACCGTGCTTTTTGCATACGCTGTTCCTGCTCCCTGCAATACTTCTCCCTGAATTCTCTGCCTGGCAACGGTCCCTCCCTACTTGAAGACACAGTTTAGTGGGTTTGTCCCCATGTTTATTTTCCCCTGTGGCTGTTAGCTCCTTGGAGATAGGGGCTGTCTTTCCTTTTGTTTCAGCATCTGGCCTAGTGCAGGCATGCAGTAAATAGAAATATTTGCTGCAGGAAGGGATGGAAGAGGAGGGCTTGCTTATGCCATTAGTCATTCATTTCACATGTGTTTATTGAGCACTTACTATGTGCCAGGTACAGTTCTAGGTGCTGGGAGCAGATTGACAAAAATCATTTCCGTCCTGACCAGTTTGGCTCAGTGGATAGAGCGTCGGCCTGTGGACTGAAGGGTCCCAGGTTCGATTCCGGTCAAGGGCATGTACCTTGGTTGCGGGCACATCCCCAGTGGGGGGCGTGCAGGAGGCAGCCAATCAATGATTCTCTCTCAACACTGATGTTTCTATCGCTTGCTCCCTCTCCCTTCCTCTCTGTAAAAAAATCAATAAAATATATTTAAAAAACAACAACATTTCCTAGACCAGTGATGGCGAACCTAATGAGTTCGTGTGTCAGAGGTGACACACGAACTCATTTTTTTGGTAGATTTTTCTTTGTTAAATGGCATTTAAATATATAAAATAAATATCAAAAATATAAGTCTTTGTTTTACTATGGTTGCAAATATCAAAAAATTTCTATATGTGACACGGCACCAGAGTTAAGTTAGGGTTTTTCAAAATGCTGACACGCCGAGCTCAAAAGGTTCGCCATCAGTGTCCTAGACGCATGGAGCATATATTCTAGTGGAAGAGAAAGACTTTCAATGAATTACACAATTGACTGTGTGTTTACAGCTGTGGTCATTGCTATAAAGGAGACGTATGGTGTGGCTGAGGCCCTGACCGGGGAGTGAAGGAAGGGTTCCTGGAGGAAGTGGCATTTGAGCTAAGATCTACACTTTCCCCTCTGGAGGAATGACAAGAATTAATAGACCAGTGTTTCTTAATCTGAGCATGTGTCAGCATGCGCCGAGGACCTGTTAAGATATAGGTTGGTGGCCAGCCCCAGAGCTTCTGATTCAGCTGGGTTGGGCTGGGGCCTGAGGAACTGCATTTCTTCCCCTCCTCCAATTTCACTGAGGAACACTGGACAAACAGAATTGTATGTATTTGAAGTGTCCGACGTGATGATTTGAGACACACGTACGCTGTGAATGAGAACAGGCGTTGCTAACAAGCTCCCAGGAAAGGCTGGTGCTGCTGGTCTGGGGGCCACAGCTTGAGAACCACTGACTCGGACAGAGCGAGGAGGGGAAGCAGGGCAGACATTTCCAAGCAGCCAGGACAGCAGGGCGAGGGTTTGAAAAGGACGTTTGCCCAGCGCGTGGGAGAAGTTGGAAGGAGGTCTGTGAGTTTGGAGTTGGTGAGCCAGGGGAGGGGAGGAGTGGGAAGAGAGATCATGGCGAGGAGCTGGCCTTTCTCCTGAGAGCATGAGCGCTTCAAAGCAGGGGGGTGGCAATTGTTTCTGCGCTATAGGCAGATGGCCCAGGGTACAGGGTGGGGGATGGATTTCAGGAGAGCGACACCGGATGAGGGAAACAGCGAGAAGGCCACTGCAGCTGTCCAGGTGAGCGATGGTGGTGGCCATGGAAATGGAGATAAATGGCTGGTTGGTTGGTGTCAAAGGATCTTTGAGCAAGGCTGGAAAGCAGTGTCAGACGTAGAAGAGGGATGTTCACTGAGCCCACCCCAGGGAATTCTGGGCTTTCTGACTTAACATCTGCCTAGCTTCGCAGCTGCTGGGAGCTACCCAGTCTCGGTGGCTTCACCCAGTCAGTGGTCAGGGTCACCGGTGTGGCCTTGCAGGCGGGGGTAGCTCACTCAGCCCCAGGCTTGGGCACGGCATGCCTGCTCCTCGCTGGCGCCTGGCTCTCAGCTTGTCCACCTGCCCTGAGCCTCATTAACACCAGCCGGGCTCAGCTGCACTGTGACTCCAGCTCCTGGCAGCCTGAGCGCGACGTCCTGTCCTCAGGTCTCTGCAGGAGTCTGAGGGGGGGGGGGTGGGTGCCAGCCTGGCATGCAACCCCAGGTGAGCCCCCTCAAGGTGAGGGGCTGGGGAGGGAGGCAAGGTGGTGGCTGGGTTTGAGGTGGGTGGCTGCTTCTAGACAGGAATTGGGGGCAACCATGACGTCTGCCTTCAGCCAGCCTCCCTCTCTGCTTGGTAACCTCAGCAGCCTCTCTCTAGGCACTGGTGCCTCCTGCTGCCCCGGGTCCTCTCCTTAGGGAAGAAACAATGTACTCTATGGTTACTGTCTCCCCAGACACCTTTGATGACTCCCCACTGCCTACAGAACAAAGTCCATCGCCTGAGCCTGGCATTCAAAACCCTGATCTGAGCTTACTGAGTCTCCAGCTTTATCTTCCATGACTTGAACTCTGCCCTTTCGGCCCCGATGTGTCCCGCGTTTTCTGTTGGGTACCCCCGCGTCTGCATAGCATGTCCTGGTTACACTGTGAACCCTGTCCCTTCTGCATCCTGGTTGCCACCTCTTCCAGGAAGTCTCCTCTGATCCATCAGTCAGGACAGATCTTTCCTCCCTTGGCTGGTGCCTCAAACAACACTTAACAAATGCTCAGCATTTCTCTCTCATGAGCATTATGAACTCTTTGAGGCCATATTTCATTATTATTTGATTTAATAATATATAATGAACCCAATACTAACTCATGATAACTACTTATGAGTATTTATTAGGTTCCAGGCACTGTTCCAACCCCTGGGCCCACATGATATCAGTCCATCCTTTCGATAACCCCATGAAGCCAGTATTAATGTCATCCCATTTTACAGATGAGCATGTGGAGGCCCACAGAGGGGGCCTCATCGCTCAAGTCCCCATCGCTCAAACCCTTGACCTAAGTCTCAGGGCCAGTAGTGGCAGAAGGTGAGGTCAGCTCTAGGCCTGGCTGCTCCCTTCCTGAGAGAGGGTCTCTAAAGGTCCTCCAGGAAGGGACACCTGGTGGGGGGCGGGGTGAGTGGCAAGCCTGGCTCAGGAGAGGGTCAAATGAGAAGCTCTTCGGAGCCTCTAGACCAGTGGTTCTCAACCTTCTGGCCCTTTAAATACAGTTCCTCATGTTGTGGTGACCCCCAACCATAAAATTATTTTCGTTTCTACTTCATAACTGTAATGTTGCTACTGTTATGAATCGTAATGTAAATATCTGATATGCAGGATGGTCTTAGGTGACCCCTGTGACAGGGTCGTTCGACCGCCAAAGGGGTCGCGACCTATAGGTTGAGAACCGCTGCTCTAGAGCCCCCTACTTATTCTCATGTGGGGGTCAGAGGCCCAGAAAGGGGACAGCAAAGGCTGGCTTCTGCCCTGGGCTCTTGGGTTAATGACTGAGGCTTGAACTAGTCAAAATTCCTGGGCAGA